GTAATTGCGCGTATAAAACATGAACGTGCGCATTACCCAGCCTGGAAAAAGTAATTTTCCGAAACGGCTCCGGTGCTTGTACGTTCGCGTTACATTATATACATTAAGCGCTCGCGAACGAGCCGAGCTTGAAATCATTCTAAATTTGGATCGTAAAAATAAAAAGGAGAAAAAAAACGCGTGTGCTACGCGAAGAGGTGCGCGCCTGGGTAGGTAAATTGAAAATCTTCCGCCGGCGCGAGCCGTAAAAAGGCGTCGCGCGGCACGCGTGAACGCGACATATTATGCGTGTTTGTTCGCTTATAAGAGCATCATATATCATAAAAAAAAATCGAAACGGTATAAACTTCCAAGAAGCTTGTCGTCGAGGACGCGCTAAAAAATCCCCACAAGATCGAAGCGAGGAAAAATACGCGCCGATAGCAGCAGTAGTCGTTAATCGATCTCGAGCCCTTTCATAACGAGTCGAACTGCTGTGATCGCGAATACGAAACGAATCGCGCGTCACCCGCGCGGAGGGAGAGAGGATGCAGCTCATCCTCTGCAGCAGTAAAGAGAGAAGAACTAGCTGAGAATTTCATCGTACATAGCTCGAGGATACGTATCCCCCCCAATTAAAATTTACCCCATTTCTCTCTCTCTCTCTTATATACTCGACGCTACATAGCTCATCGGAATCCTCTAGTGACATAACTCGCTCATCGTGTACTTGCTGCTATGCTATGCGCGCTTCAAATCGAATAGCTGCCGCCGCTGCTGCTGCTGCAGTCGACTTTTTTTTTACTACTCGGATATCTCTTTCGCCTCCATCCCCGAACCCCTTCTCTGTAAGCAAATAACCCCCTGGTATATATACGCGCTCAGCCTCCGGGATATCAATTTTCCGTCCAAATGCGCTGAATTAATGGCTCGATCATCGACGCGAAGGCGCGTCGCACAGCAGTAGTATATAGAGGCTCTAGCTCGAGCTCTCACGAGCCGATGCGGTCATCGTGTCGTCTACGACGTCTTTACGCTGCAATTACAACTTATATATATGCAGCACGTAGAGAGCTGGCGTGAATGAGGAAATTGCGAATTAGCACCCAGAGAGCCACTGTACCAGCCCTGGTCGTATAGTCGATTTTGTGTATATAGATATAGGGTACTCCGTACACGTATCGTACTACACATGGGTAAATATAGGTCTATGGTACACACGAATAAGTCAGATGATCTTGTGCCGCACAAGCGTCCATTTGATCATTCCGAATTTTCCGATGATAAATATCGCGCGACGTATCGCCTTCGCACGTTCTCGGATGATATATATCATAACGCGCGCCTATTATTTGGATAAAAAGAGGCAATAAGCAGCGACATCAACGACGATATATATACGATACGCCCCCGCACATCGACGTGACGCTCGACGCCGTATAGCAGCAGCTATTCACTCTCACGGGGGCCATCGTCGACGCCGTCGCCGCCGCTGCCGAGGAAAATTTATCAAAAAGTCGAGGCGCGCACACAAGACACACACACACACTCGCAGAATGTTAATTATGTCTCGTCTCGGAGTGCGAGAGAGAGAGAGGCGAATGTAGGTCGTCGGACATTTGCCTACGCCACACACGACATGCATACGTATCTAATATACACAGGCCGCGTGGCTGTATCGTATAGTATGAGTGTCTCTGTGTGTGAGTGCATAATATAGGCTGTCTCGCACAGCAGCAGCAGCAGCAGCAGCGGATCAAATTCTGCACACGCGTTTCGAGTGCGAGCGGCCCCGAGGAAGAGCAGTGCCGAGCATCGTATATGCACACGCACGTGCACTCACACGGTGTCGAATTTAAATGCCGTTGGTGTTGCTTTCTCAAAATCTTTCGTGCGACGATAACGAGTGCGCGACGAGCTTTTTCGGTTCTCTCTGTTTTTTACCCCATTATCTTGCCTGTATTTGCGGATTTATACAATTCGACGAGATACGGCCGCAGGTCATTTTTTTGCTTTGTTCGTTCCAAAGCGACGATTAATAAAAGTTTATCGACGCGTGCACATAAATGTATATGCGCGCGCACGTAAAAAAATGAAAATCTTTCCGAGCCGACGCGAATAATTCGTGTGTGTGTGTGTGTGTATCTTCTTCTTTCCGCACGTACGCCACAACACTCGAATGCACGAAAAAAAAAAGTTTGACGTTGTTAGTAGGCGATACGAAGATGACCTAAATTATCGAAGCTACACATATCTCTGTGTGTGAGTATATATGTGTGTGTGTGTGTGTGTAGGCAGGTCTCGTAAAGCCGTACACACGCTGGAGGGTAGCATTTAAATTTTTCTCCCTTTGCTTTTTTTCTTGTTTTTTATTTTTTATTTATCTCAGAGACCATGAGAGTGGCTCTTTTCATCGTTCGCGCATTTGGACGTTTTTATTGTGCACAATAATCCAAGGGCACCCCCTGCAACGTCATATGAATTCATTGGTTTTTTCTTGCTTTTTTATTACTCGGTACTTTCATGATAGAAATGATCAATATTGATAATGGCCTGATAACTAAAAAATTAACATTTTGTAAAATGCATAAACATTAATTGGCTGGGTTTTGACCATTTTTTATGAAAATTGTGTTAAAAATATGAAGCGCATTCAGACCTGAAAATGACTAAATACTACTTTGGGCCTTGGCCGCTAGATGGCGAGTTACTTTATCTGTAAATCCGCAAGTGGCAAAGTCAAAATATTTTTATAACTCAAATTTAAAAAGGTAAAAAAGTCAATAGCATGGTCACAGACGAAATGCTGATTAATATGTCGTACACACGCCACGTGCGCTGACACGCGAAAGAAATTTTTTCTCTCTCTTCTTAATCACGTACCTAAAAGCTCCTTGGCAATTGATTATAACGTCCATAAAATACGCGGAGAAAAAAATCATTGAAATACACGTATTGACCTTTGAATTGAAATATATATACAGGGTAGCAGTAAGGCAGTACCTTTGAATGATACGGGCGATTATCGTTATTCGTAAGCTCGGCTCGCGCGCGCGAAAGCTCGGGGGCAATTACGGCGAGATTTTAAATATCATGCGCAGTTCGGTGTAGCACAAAGTGCGAGCTTGATTATTATCATCATTATTCGAAAGAATCGACCTCCGTCACGGACACGTGTGTGTATGTGTTATAAATGTTGATACACGCACACATGTGTGTGTGTGTGTGCGGTTGGCCAATCGTTCGATGCAATTATTGCAATCGTCGGCTCTCTCTCGAGCAAGACTGCTATTTCGCAATAGTACGGTATAATATAACGATGATGTATACATGTATATAATATTTATAATAACGATGATGATTCGCATATTTTATATCGCTGAAAACGGAGCAAAAAAAAAAAGAAGAAAAGTCGATTCTCCCCACGTGTGCGACCTTCGTCGGTATGCGCAGAGCTGAGAGATCGACTAAAACATTAATCGTATACGAATTGATTTTCACCTTAACATTATAACTGATTTTGACGGCAGTAAATATCGCAAATTACGGCATTATGCGAATATATACATTCGCATGGGCAAGCAAAGCGAGAGAGAGAGAGAGAGAGACAGCAGAGAGCTGTATAGCCAAGCAAATTGATAAAACAACAAAGCAGTTACACAAATGACAATTGATACAGCGTAGGAATGTATATGATTTATTAAAGCAATTTTCGCATCGCCGGCAAGCATGTCACCTAGATCCCTTTTAACATATACACACACACATTTATTAATATACACGTATAGTATAACACAAGACAAAGACACACATAGACACATATATATTTACAATACAGATACGGTACAGTGTGTGCGACACATGCAAGTGCGTGAAAACGATAATAACTCAACAAACAGACATCACCCGCACACATACTCACACATACTGATATTTTGCACCCACGCGACGACGACGGCGGTGGCGATGATTGAGGATATGCGAAGAGAACGAGATAGAGAGAACGTGGAAGAAAGTACATAATGAAGATATAAACAGAGTAGATTAGTAAGACAGCGCGAGACAATTTCGAGTGTCTGTTGCGGGGGTGGTTGTCGTCATTGTTGTTATTATTGTTGTTGTTGTTTTCGTTGATTGTCTTTTTTTTCTCTTCTTCTTCGTGTACCGTCTGAAGAACCAACCTCCTCGAAAGAAAAATGAGCCCGCGACAAGAGAGAGAAGGTTAATAATGCACCGAGTGTGTACCCCTAGCCTAGTGAAAATGTGTGTATAATATGTTTTATACCCTTTGGCTCGAGACGACCCACTTGAGAGCTCAGAGGAGGTGGTGGTGGTGCTAAAGGATTTTTTTTTTTTTGCTTTTCTTCCAACCCTTGCGTTTTGATCAAAAAGAGCAGCGTTGATGAGGAGAGAGAAAGAGAAAGAAAGAAAGAAAGAAAGAAAGTAGGGAAATGGTAAGAAAAGAGCTTAAAAGTCGAACACTTCGTCTTGTATACAGTGCGTGTTTCGTATAGTAATAATAAATAATAACAATGTGCAGCCGTGTGTAAAATGCCTTTTGATAATAATACGTTGTGTGTACAGAGATAAGGCAAAAGTAATAGGATAATAGCTCTTGCGTGACCGTACCATAAATGAATCGCACTCAGGAACACAGTGTAGTAGTACAGTAGTAGGTAGTAGTAGTAGTAGTTGTAGTAGTTGTACAAGAGTGCGGAAAAACAAAAGATTTCTCGGCTATATTATAAATTGTGCCAATTGAATGTATAATGCAAGAGAAGAGAGAATAAAGGCAATAATTTTTTTTTTTTTAATATCTATGTAGATAGAAAGAGAGATTTTCTCGTGTGTGGTTACAAAGTGAGAGAGAGAGAGAGAGAGAGAGAGAGAGAGATGCGTGAAAAAGATTCCAGATGTGGCCTTGGTTTTTTTTATTCCCTTAAGGCGTTTTTTTGTTGTTGCAATAATAAGTAACTGGGGATAGAGGCCCATGTTTTTTTTTTGTTTGTTTTATGACTTACCATTCCTTTTCGTCATTATCATCCGACTTGAGTATACCGTCGCCTGTGTACGATGTCACGCATCGACTGAACCTATATAATAGTACATTGCACATAGAGAGATCAAACAAGACAAAAACAAAATGTGTGTTTGGTGTGTGGTAGATAATCGCGGCGGCTGTTCTCTGCAGCTTCGCTCAATTGTTGTTGTTGTTGTTGGTTTAGTTATATACTTGGGCATGATGTCGGTGTGTGTGTTTATGCGTGTGTCTGCGTTTAATCTCACTCACAGCTGTGTCTTATTAATACAAAAAAAAAGTCGTAGACATTTTGGCTGTGGATATGCTATAATAGTATATTTGAAGGTGTGTGAAAAAAAAAATAAAATGAAAAATTTGTAACCGCGGCTACGACGAGACCGACTTTATAAATCAAAATGTTGCAATAATGCATTCAAAGCCGACCAGAGAGCATAAATACAGTACGATTTTAATGCAAGTACTTACTCATTTCCGGACAGCAAAAAAAACTGTTACTGAATCAAAAGTTTTATCTCTTTCACCCGATGCATTATCGAATTATAACGTATAGTATAGTTGCACGTTCAGGGTCGCGAATGCATATTTCATCGAAAATACAGCGGAATCAAAGTAAAATATTTTATCGATAATACAGAAACATAGGCTAAAATATTTAACAATAATAATATATAATTCTGCAACACAGGCAATGCGAGATCATACGACCCTTTCAACGTAATGAAGATCGATATGATATATCTATACGTAACACCAACAATAAATATTTAAAATATATATCAGCATTCAAGTACATAGAAGCTTACATACTCACAGCCAGGCGTCTCTAATTGGTTCGTTAATTAATAATAATAATAATAATAATAATAATAATAATAATAATAATAACAATGAAGTAAAAAAAATTTAAATAAATGAAAGACACTCTAATTTTTAATGTTCAACAGTGTTTGACTGTCGCGCTAAGAAAGCACATAATACGAACAAACATTACTGCCGTTGATTAATATAATTATAGAAGCAGCAATTAATGCACGAACTTTTTAATTCGTAAAATAAATATACATAAAAATTATAAACATTTACAGATCAGTACTCATAATGTAACACAGCAAAATTTTTATGTTAACATCTCATTTGCCAAAAAGCAATTATAATACTTCAGCGTCAGTATAATAACTTTTATCGATTATTTTGATTTTCGTTGTTTGCATCTACACTTTTCTTCTCAATTTTCTCGCATTTATATCGATTACGCATGTGCAATAATAACATGTATTACTATAGATTTATATATTGCATGTATATCGTTAAAAACGTCGATTGTATTATATTTACATAAATATTAGCACACATCTGCGCTCTCGACTCGCGCCTGCCGCGGCGCGAGTTGGTATAAGAAGAGATAGTAAAAGTCTGCGAATTAATTACGGCTGAACGCCCGAATCAATGGATATAGATCGCCGATTATTTATTGTATCATCGCGTACGTAGAGTACTGCCGGCTTTCATTTACATTAATTGGCACGGGTATAAATAATTAATCCGCAGACTTTTACGGCGTTAATTCACGGCTAAAAGACAATTAAACACATTTATGTAATCGTTTTATGACTTTGTTGTACCTTTCTCTACTTTGAAGTTTTTTTTTTGTCAAAAATTGAAATGTAGATCAAATTGTGTGGTGTCGTACGCGATTGTAAAAAACGAAATTTCATTAAAAATGTCGTCACTTTTAACGCGTGTCCACGGCATTTTTACATAATTTAATCAATGTCAGGCTAAAAGCAAATTATTGGAAAAATCAAAATTCAATTTACTTTCTTTTTTGCAATCACGTACAATAGAGCGAAATGATTTACATCGCAATTTTTCCAAATCGATAAATTGAAAAGAAAAAGAAAAAAAAAGTAAACCGATGTAAAATATGTGTATTACACTGGATACGTGTGTCCAGCGGTGTCTATGGATATATATGTAGTATATAATGTCATGGTGGGTTAGCATCATGGGGCACAATCAACTCACCGTCGCAGGACTTTGATTTCATTTTCCAGCGAGTCCTCCTTGCCTTTGAGCGCCTTCTTGTCGATGATTTTAACGGCGTACAGCATGCCCGGCCGATCCTTGCTCTCTGCGAGTCTGACCTCCGAGAAGGCGCCACTGCAAAAATTTAACAAAAAATTTATTACATTTATCGTTACATTTTTTGCTATGCACAAATGACGCTATTCAATGTATAAAATCCGAATAATAATAACGATGACAATGATCGTAATAATAATGATAATAATGATGCTGTGTTGCGAACACGAGAGTCGCATGTACTACGCTACGAGTAGTATCTCGATCATATGTGCGGTGGCTCTCGAATCCGAGGCCGCCATCGACGAAGCATAAAATCGAGTCCTGGGTAATTTACGCCTCTTTGCACTTTACTCTCATTTTCTTTCCATATATCATCGTGTCGGTGTGTGTGTACCTTATATATCTACACACATTGCGCGTTTACGTGTCAGCACGAGTGGCGCTTGTGTATATATATATATATATTGTGTACGTGTACGTATATATGTATATAAACAGAGCAGCAGTTAATTATAAACCTTTAGACAAAGATTAATCCGATGCCATCTCCTCTGCTTCTCTATACCTCTGTCGTATGCAAACTTGCGCGTAAATCTCGCTCGCTGCTGTGCGCGCTCACTTCAATCCGTCCTCGTCCTCGTCGTCGTATATAATTCGTCGAGAGGAGTACAATTAGCGGCGCGCGACGCGACGCGCGGCACAAGAGGGAGAGAAGGAGAGATAGAGAGGAACTTGATAATCGCGCACTGAAAACTTGTCATCATCGGCGTTTCGCTTCGAGATTATTAATTGCGACGCGTGCAGTGAGCTTGCAAGCTCGCGAGAGAGGTAAAGACAGCTACGAGCTTTCGAGTGCCTACAGTGGCGCGCGATATCGTCAGCGAGAAAAGGCGAATACTGCAGCAGTCGTTATATTATAGTCACGTTTCTCGCGTTCACGTCGCGCGCTCACGCAAGTGAAAATTCATTTAATCTTCGAGGAGTCGTCGTCGTCGTCGAAGTACCATATAATTATTATCGAATATCGATGTCGCTAGGCCGTGATCGGTACGCGTGTCATCGACGACTTTATAATATAATATTAATATATATGTGCGTGCATATTCTTAACGCTCGAAGTACTCGCAGCAACTGCAGCAGTCGTTAGACAACTCGATATCAACTTTTGCGTGCGCAGCCATGTGTGTGTGTGCGTTACTAGTGCGTTTATTACACGCACTCCAAGTGTTATTAAATATTATGAAAATTTCTCCTTCTCTCTCTCTGGCTTTCCTTGGCCGCCGCTGCTGCTGTAATGTAAAAGCCGGGCCTCGCGCGCGTATGCATAATTCCTGTTCTCTGTGCGTATACCTATCCAATTACCCCAAGCGCGCGGCGCAATCGCTATATATGTACGCACGTCGTCGAGTCTCAAACTGCGTATTATAAACTTGTCGACGGCTATACTCCTTCGGGCTGCTTCAAGGCCTCGCATCTCTCTCTCTCGTATTATATATACATATTCATCGTTACATAATTACTCTACGCGCCGCCACCGCCACTCGTGTGTATATTCAACTCTTTCGCGCGAGGAGCAGCATACACGAACTCGAGTACGCCCGTATGTGTGAATGTGCGAAATGGCTAATTTCTTTTTCTTCTTTTTTTTTATTTGACTCTAGCACACTTCGCAGTCTCGATACGGGGACCTTTTTTTTATTCTCTCTTCTTTTTATTTTTTTTGCTGCTGCTGCTAGCTAGCTCTCGACACCTCGATATCAATTACGCACTTGTGCCAGAAAAATATAATACGCGTATACGACGGCGGTGCGTGCGTCTGACACCGCGCGGCAGATATTTGTGTGTGCGTTATTATTATACACGTATACGCACTCGAATGCGATCCTCCTCACCTGCCGTCGTCGTCGTTTACACACATATATCGCACGTGCTAAATCGAGGCGAATAGCGCGTCGAGCGGATGGAGTGCACAAAAAAAAAGTGTTATAGCGACTTGAGAGAGCTATATAAATGAATGACACCGACCTAAACGTCGGCGGTGGCTGCAGCCCGTACTCGACCCGCTCACTCGCACCGCGCAGAGAATCTGGAGCTACATTACGGTTATTTGATTTCTAGCTCGTCTACGCGCGTCTGTATGAACTTTTTTTTTATTAAACTCCATTCGTCGCTCGCTCGTATTATGGGTGACAAAAAAAAAAAAAAAAAAAAAAAAAAAAAAAAAAAAAAAAAAAAAAAAAAAAAAAAAAAAAAAAAAAAAAAAAAAAAAAAAAAAAAAAAAAAAAAAAAAAAAAAAAAAAAAAAAAAAAAAAAAAAAAAAAAAAAAAAAAAAAAAAAAAAAAAAAAAAAAAAAAAAAAAAAAAAAAAAAAAAAAAAAAAAAAAAAAAAAAAAAAAAAAAAAAAAAAAAAAAAAAAAAAAAAAAAAAAAAAAAAAAAAAAAAAAAAAAAAAAAAAAAAAAAAAAAAAAAAAAAAAAAAAAAAAAAAAAAAAAAAAAAAAAAAAAAAAAAAAAAAAAAAAAAAAAAAAAAAAAAAAAAAAAAAAAAAAAAAAAAAAAAAAAAAAAAAAAAAAAAAAAAAAAAAAAAAAAAAAAAAAAAAAAAAAAAAAAAAAAAAAAAAAAAAAAAAAAAAAAAAAAAAAAAAAAAAAAAAAAAAAAAGAAAAAAAAGTGTCATCTAGTCCGAGCGTTTTTAGAATATGAATCTTCTCGTCGTCGTCGCGGCTTCTCTGTGGTCCGGTTCTCGGTATATATTGCAGTACGACGTAATTTTTGCGCGTAAAAAAGAATTTCGGCCTCCTCTGTGGTTAAAATTGAAAGAAGTACATAATCCAATTTTTCATCTATTTATAATTTGTGCTTCATCTTGCTGAATAATTATACTCAAGCTCGTAGGCGAGAGAGAGAGAGAGAGAGAGAGAGAGAGAGAGAGAGAGAGAGAGAGAGTTTATTCAATCGATTGCTCGCCGATTGTCAAAAGAGCGTGTGCGTGTGGCAATTGCACGCACCGAAATCGAGTCCTTGGAAATATTTAATCAAAATTCAAATATAATAACGTTCTCTCTCATATTGAAATGATTTCGAGCTTTCCCCGAAATCAAATTATATAAGTCTCGGCGCCCACCCGTGCATATATTTATCAATATAATGAACGTCAGCGAGCACGAAGCAAAGTTGGGCAAAAGGAAAATCACTCGAGCCGTCATCGTCTTATCCTCCGCCGCTGAAGCAAAGTTTGACGCTATACAGAGAGTATAATAATATATATAGGTATGATATACAGTAACGACGACGTCCCCTCGTAGTTCAGCACACGTGCCGCTGTGCTGCTGCACACACAGACACATATACACAGCAGTCAAGCTTATAGCCAGTGCAAGCTCTCGAAAGCGCCACACGCAGCAGAGCAGAGCAGAGCAGAGCAGAGCAGAGCCGAGCCGAGCAGCAGAGGGCACAGAGCGAATATTGCGCTTGCGCAAACTACTATTACTACTGGTACTGTGCCTTCAACGACGTCGTGGCATCGAGTCAAGGGTTATACTACTGCTGGGTTGTGTATAGATCCCAGCGGACCTCCAAGCTGCGTCTTGTGTGTGTGTGTGTTGCAGTATGCGCGTGTATTCACGTTTGTGTGGCATGCAATAGTTGTATACACAGGCAAATGTATGTACGCGTGCACAGCCAAAAGCCATATTCCGCGAATGAGTTCCTAGAACAATTTCGAGAGTATATGTACAGGAGCTGCTGTAGAGCCTGGGCATATATATACAGGCAGTAGTAGTAGTAGTTACACACAGAGAGCCGCGCGAACTTGAGGATTTCGGATTGTAATTGACACGCGCGCCAATGGAATTATATTCGCTCTCGTAAGCTCGTCTTTCTCTCTCTCTCTCTCTTTTACTCGAACAATGCTAATTTGAGAATTCGCGTAACGAATTGAATTAATCTTGACGAATTTAATCACCCATGTTGTACGAAATCTCTTTCCAGAGTGCGATTACGCGATTCGAGTGTATGTGGCGTTTGCACATATGTACGCTAGAGAGAGAGAGGGAGAGAGGAAAAGGAAAAAAGTTAGTACACATATACACAGACACTAAGCACGGTAGTAGTAGTAGTAGTAGTAGTAGTGCACGGAATACGAGACACGCGCGATTTCGCTGACATAATCGCCGAATGGGTGTTGCTTTTTTCTCTCTCTCTCTCTCTCTCCCGGCGCGCGCGTTTTACGAGAGCAGGTTACACACTTACGGCGCAACTGTGGCATATGGGCATATAAGCCATAAGCATGGAAAATATGAAACCTATATAGAAAAAGAAAAAAATAGTTGTTTCTTATGTAATTTTCAGCACCACTAAGCTCGGGCCGAATAGGCTAAAAGTGTATACGTACGCATACTACACACACAGGTACACATTATAGAGAGAGAGGAGAGAGAGAGACTCAGGCGCGCGCATTATGTAATTTACATAACAGCAGCTGTTGGCTGTATTGCTCGCGTAGCGGCCCTCTCTTAAAAAGAGTTACATCGACACTGTGTGCTGGACTATTATTTCCTTTTTATATCCAGGCAGTGTGCAAGCAGCAGCAGGATTCAATTGCTCAACGAGTCTTCTTTTCTTTTTTTACTTTTTTCTCTTGCGCCGAGTCTCTTTTTTTTCGCTGCTTTTCGCGCGAATCTTTTGCGAAATGTGGGTCGATCAACGATCTACTTTCGATATTATTCATTTTTGAGCAATGAAGTGTGCTTACGGATCAGTCCACCATTGTTACTACGAAATTACGATCGATTTATCTCGAGCCGACGACCATTACGTAATTTTTTTCGTGTGTCAAAAGAATTTCAATCGGTTGCGGATCGACTCCTTGCTTCTTTTAATGCACGTGCCGAAAAGTAAAAGATTCGGGCACATTGAGTCGCTGCTCTGCTCTGCTGCTTCGCGCGTGAGTTGTTCATCAAAGACGTACGCGTGCGTGGCGATATACGTGTTTGGGGTTGAAAATATTCCACGTGGGTTATAGCGGTATAGCATAAGTTTCCGAAATTTGTAAAGTTTTATATGACTGGCGCATATTTCA